CATAAAGACGCTTAGTAGTTTTTTCAAAATATTTTGTAAGAATCAAGCCTTCTTTGATACAATTTTGATTTGTTCCTAAATCAATAAGAACCCGAGTTGTAAATTTGAAATCTTTATTTACAACAATGGTCATATTGCAGTACCATTTTTGAAATTGAATTCGGTTAATAACATTAACCTTTTATTCTTTAGATTTAAGAATTTTGAAATTAGAATCTAATGAGCAATCAGAAGAGGATTTAGAATATTTTGAAGATTGCTTAGAAGAAACTTTTGATTTTCCTTTGAATTTTGAATAAAATTCATCATGTAAGTCTTTTGTTTTCATACGAACGACTTTCATGTGAATTTCTTTAACTTGATTTTCCAAGATATGAGATTTGAGTTTTCATACTTTTAATCTCTTCTTAAAGATCAGGAATGGAAGGTTTAGAACCCTTTGAAAATTCCTTTTGAGCACGTTTGAGAATTTGATTGATATTGATATCATCAAAGTTTTGTTTTGAAGTAGAAGGTAAAAGGGAGGAAATTTTTTTCTTGAGATTAGGATTATCAGTTCTATCAATAATATCTTGAATAACTTCTTCTTCTTGAGATAAAACATTTATAGTTTTACAACCACAAATTTCTTTACCTGAGTTTGAAGAAGTATCAGAGGAATGAAGTGAAGGTTCATAATCTGAATCTTCTTGATTAAGAAAAACTTTTTCTAATTCTGAGTTAGACTCATTATCAGAACTTGATTCAATAAGATTGAGAAGTTGGGTTTTGGTATCTTCATCAATTTGAAGACTACTAATTTTCTTTTTGAGTGGACATTTATTAGAATAATGACCAGTCTTATTGCATTTCTAGCAAGTGATGTTTGAATTTTTTTTTTTTTGAAATTTTCTTTTATTAGAAAATTCTTTTGAATAATTTTTGGAATATTTTCTTTTAGAAAATTTCCTATTTTGAGAAAAAATTTTAGATTTTGAAGAAGGAGGAATGATTTTTTCAAAACCATACTGTTCGCAGTTTCAAAACCATACTGTTCGCAGAAAGATCCAAGTTCTTTTCGACTTTCAGACTTTTCTGTTTTCAATTTGGCTTTGAGTTTTAAATCATTGCATAAATTTAAAGTTTTACAATTAATATAATTGATAATTTCACCATATGTGAGCGTTTGAAGGTCATCAAATTCTTTAAAAATAGAATTTTTGATTCTTTCTGCAAAGAGTTTTGGAAGACCTAAAATAAATTTTTCTTTCCAAAAAGATTGTTGACAATCTTCTCTAATCATGATATGAGATATATATATATATATATATCACCCCC